TTTAGTTGTGACTTAGAATAGTTTCGACTTAGTTGAGTACTAAATATCACTATGAATATGCGCCAATAAGTCTAAGGCTATCTGCACACTTGTCGTCCAATCATAGTTGCGTTATCGTCTCGCCCTGAAATTTTGAGCCGAGCACATGCATTTCAAAGGAGATCTGCACACTTGTCGTTATCGGCTAGTTATCGGCAAATCGTGGAAGATGCAGAAACGGATAAGTACGGCACTGTCGTTTGCTAATCGTTGTGCACGCATTGTTTGTTTACATTTTATGGGGGAAAATTAGTGAAAAAGTTAATATTTGCATTAAAATTGTATAAAAATTAGTATTTTTTTGCATAAAATCTGTGGAAATTATTAAAAAGTGGATAATTGCATTAAAATTTAATAAATATGAGCGTTTTAACTATAAAATATGACGAAATTGTATTAAGTCTCTGTGTGCATACACAAAACACATTCCAGGAAAAGAAAAGAAGAGATATTACTGGAAAATTACGTCTAGAAATGTTGCAGCACAGTCTATATTTAAAAAATTGCAGGTTTTTGTAAATATTTTGCGAAAATATCAACCAAAGAAAACAGAAAATACCAGCTCCAAGTGAATTTTTAGACGCCAAATGAATTGAAATATCACGACCAAGTGTGCAGAAGTGTAATCGTCATGTAATCGTTGCTTCATGACGATAACTATGACTCAACTATAACTATGTTCACATATCAATATTACCTCAATCAAAGCTCGTTTTTTAATCGCACCGTTCACACAGGCAAATCTCAGATTATTAGCCGTCAAATTTGTTGTGCTTGTTATTCTCACATCTCAAGGAAAAGTTATTTTTTTTTCTCTGTGCCACCGTGATCACGTTTTTCTGCTATATTGAGCAATATAGATATATTTTAACTTAACATTTTATTAAAAAAAATACCTTTAGAACCCTCTTTTCCTTGCCAGCGTCCATTTTTGTTTACTTTTACATTTGCCATTTCTCCTCTTCTTCGCAAAAACAATCGATAAAACTAGGATGGACACCGAAAAGTTATCGGTTAAATCTGAGATTATTTTATAATTACAGATTAACACGGGAGGAATTTTATATGGCTAATCTCTTTTTCTAATTACAGATTAGGAAGTTAAGCTCGAAAATGAAGATAATCTACTTATATGTGAACCTAGTATATGATTGGACGACCAATGAGCAGAAAGCCTAACTGTGGCAACGAGTTAAGAGCCGTATACACCATGCAAGCGGTTTGTCAACCTTAAGAGCCAAGGCGCATCAATTACAGGTGATAGCGATAGAAGCTATGCTTCTTCTTATGAGCACGCTTGTGTCAAATTATCGTCTGTTTTGCTATATTTACATATCCGCGTACACATACACATATACGTATATATATACCCTGCAAACAAATGCTCCCGAAATCTTTAAGAGTGTCGGAAATTTGTTACGATTTTTTAGAAATCTGTAAAGAAAAACATATGAGGCGGTTGACAAGAACTAGTAAAGAAATTTCTGTACAATTTCTTAAAGAAAATTCTTAAAAAAAATTGTGAAACCTTTCAGAATTCTATGAAATCCTGGTATGCAGGGTATACATATACACACGAATATGAATAGATAAAAAAGACGGTGATGACACAAGGAGTTCATACCAACGGTAAATGTTGTTTTTGTACGATTGCTACAACCTGTAGTTCTTCAATCATGCTTAAGAGCTAAATAAATCACACAAGCTGCTGGTTAAACCTACTTTAGTGTTTTCCCATACACTTTTTTGTAGATGCAAAATAAATTTCAACTTAAATATCGATAATGCATGTCGATGTCTTCGATATATCGACCTGGTAATATCGATTAAAAAATCGATTATCGCACCATAAAATATCGATATTCCGAATAATCAATACGATATCGAACATTCCTACCTTGGACGGGTAAAATCCGAGTCATTCCAGTACGTAGAACCGGCTGCCGTGGGAACATCGGTGCGGTCAATTGAAATTTCCTCAATCAAATAGGAAGAAAAACAAACAGAGTTGATCACCAATTGAGCCAGATTTCTATCAGTATCACATCGATGTTGAATTTGCGCAACTTTTCTTTCCAATTAATGTAAAATAATAATCCTGTTCCCGAACTTCACGATTTGCAGGTTTTACAGGAACAGCTGTTTTCGTCTTTAATAAACCTTATGTGAACGTGGCGTACGGGAACGACTTTGGACTAAATTCTGCAAAACCTGCAAATCGTAGGCGTTCTGGAACGCACTAAATGAAATCACGATCGGCGATCACTGAAACGCAGCTACCAACTATATACGCGAAAAAGCATTGTTGCCACATCTTCTCATTAAACCATGTTCGAATCGTGGAAATTTGAAGACCACAGGGTTGCTTTTAGCTTTTAGTCTCTTAATACGGAAATGGAGTTGGATTTATACTACGTTTATGCGACAGAGTTCATGAATTCTTCATTTCATGAATTCAAAAATGATCCCGTTTATGCATAGTTCGCGAATTCATGAAATAAAGTGCTTTGAAAAAATGGCAACGCACTGGCGAGAAACCAAACAGTACGATTGTGACTTTTTTTGGCCTCATTTTGAATTTGCAGAAGCCGTTGGTGCCAGGCAATGCACCATATTGTATTTAAATTGGTTATAATATATTTTCAGTTTATTCTATTTGAATTTATTTTATATTTGAACGATTCCACATAACTATTCCAGTGTTTTAAATCCTGGCTATGCCACTCATGCTTTTTAATCTAAAAACATCATAACCAGTGCTGCCGCTGTCACTTCAATTGAAAATTTTCACTTCACTTTAAAAGCCTTCACTTCGTCACTTCATTTTACTTCGTTTTACTTCACTTTCCACAAATTAGATTTATCTCTAAAAAAAATTAAAAATTTCTTTGAAATATGTGATTTATTTAACCAAAATCAACAGTCTTTTACTAAACTCCTCTTAAGTAGTAAGTATGGCAAAGTAACTATTCCCAAACAGCTGCTACGGTTATTTGGAAGAAGTCACTTCGGATTTCATTTTCACATGTATAGTTGTAGATCGCACAGAAATGAATGCGTGGATAATGTTTCATAATTATTTAGTAAATATTTGACGAATACAACAATTATATTTTAGTTTTCATACATCTTCAATTTTACAGCAAAACATTAAGGTGCATCTCGTGATGACGTTGTTACTGTGTATCTGGGTATGACTTTTTGTTGTGAATCGAAAATCGATTAATTATATTTTAGTGTTAATGTCATCAGTGAACTGTAATTTTTGATTTTCTTTGCTCTACGTTTGAGACATTGTGATTATAAATCTATTGCAGCATTAAATTTGCGCAGGAGCACAATATATTATAAATTAATAAAAAACCTCACACCCCTAATTGTGCTTGAAAGTCGTCATTTCGATATTCAATTCACTTTTCCTTTTAAATCACTCCGAAACACTTCACTTTTAGTGTGTTTTCACCACTGTATAGACAGTAACCAACCCTTTTGGGTTGTTGTTGTAGTAGTCATTGTTGTTGTAACGGGTGATTTTTTAAGAGCTTGATACCTTTTTTTTTAAAAAAAA